AACACGATTTGAGAGGAAAGGCTAAGGAGACTTTAATGATCAAACAGGTTTCCTTTCTCTTATTTACATTCATACACAAAGCCTACTTTGTAAATTGATTTACTATTTTTTCCTTAAAGCGTCGCGGTAAAACTTTTAAAAGGCCCAAGAATATTGTGAAGTACAGTTGTGCCGTGATTCTACTGCTGCATCTTCGGAAGGCTTACGGGGATTTATCGATTGTTTTCACAATCTAAGCTCCTGATGTATTTTTGCCAGGACGGGGTATGACCTGCGGTAGCAGAATTGCCTGTGCATTTTTCCAGTGCATTTTTCACCAAAGCTAACGTTCAACTTTGAGTGCAGGACTGAACTCCAGTAGGCGTTTTGCAGTTTAGATAAAAGTAAATTGTGACTTAGCTGATTTTTTCGTCGGAAATGAAGCCACCGAAGCAGCAATTTTGAGCCTACTACAGCGAGAGACATTCGGACAATGTCAATAAATAACAATCAATACTCGGTTCTCTCAATCCTCAAAATAATAGCGAAGCTGACTGAAGGAGATGGCAGGCACAAAACAGACCTGTTTAGCAAAATTGATGTCACGCAGTGCGTTAACTGAACACCAAGACCTCTTTATGGTGGGGGAAGGGAGCAAAATTCCTCAGTAGCGCAGCCACTCAACTTAAGCTAGTCCAGTATCCTGGCCGATGCCCGTCCTCAAACGGACACAATAGATGTGACAGTTCGACTGTCGAGTTCCGACGATGTCCACCGCGTGCTTCGCGGTAGGTTGGAAGTAAGCTTGGTGGCTTGCGTTGCATCTAGCTCGATGTCATGGCCGAGCCGAGGAGACCGGAGGTAGGAGATAGCGCGGGTGGCTCGCACGGCGAAAGTCCACACCTAAATGTACCACCACGCTCTCTGGTCCGCAATAAGCGCTTGACGTGAATTTTAACAAAAAAAAAGATGACAGGGACAGTGGTACGGAGCCCAGCTGTCACGGCGTGGACCTGCGTCCTACTACATTCAATCCTACATCACCTGATCACAGGCAGGATTTTGCTCTACCAGAGGAGTCTCAATTCACACAATTGACGTTAACAGTACTAAAAAGAAGATTTTCGCAAGTCACTTTGCGAGTAATGTAGCTCAACAACAGCAACTTTGTCTAATTAGCCATTTCATGTGGATATTAACCCCTAATCAGCACTTACCGACAAGAAAATAAAGTCAAAATTATCAACTATGGGACAAGCAATACTGATTTTATAATTCTTTTAATGCTCACATTTTAAGTAACTTTGCTCGCAGTTGATAGAATTTCTGTTTTTCTAACTTACTTAATCCAAATGCTATATACCAGTTTTCTACGAAATGTAACGCACGGTTTTTGATAAGACACACGTGATCCATTATTTTGATAGTGAGTTTAGTGTCGACGACAAGTGGGAGAGCGGTCGTCGCATTTTGACGCTGAAATTGAATTTTTAGTACTTCGGCAAAGGATTACCTCGCCTGTCGTGGTCAAACCTGGATTCTTATTGGCCAGGGAGTTAAATGCCGAGGCTTACGATTGCAGTAAAAGGACGAAAGGCCGTGAAGGAGGAGAAGGAGCTGTGAGGATGAAGTTCAATATGTATGAAAGGCAACCAAAGTGATCTAAAGCATACTACCACTTCTGAAACTGGGCAAATCTATAGTCAGTGACCGTTTACTGTTGTTTGTAAGCAAAAATCTTCGCCTGTTATCAATATCCGGCTAGAAGGCTATTAGCGTTAATCAATTCTTTAAAATGAAAATCAATTTTTAGGTGGACATTTAAAAGTTCGGGAGTGATTAGCACAAACTGAGCATCTCTTTTTCGCGCAAATAGTGATCGGGTTGGACAGGGCCCCTTAAAAGTACCAGTAGCACTGGTTGAGGGTTAGGTACTCCAGGAAAAGAACAAGGCCTATAAAAGCATGCGAACCATGCAGCTCCAGTTTCCTGGTAGAAAACCTTTTTTAAGTCTTTTTTCACAGACAGTCAGATTACTGAGCGACTCTGTTTTCGTAGTATCCATAATTTGTCCACCCAGAAATTTATTCCAACGTAATACATTTCTGGCAGAAGGTGTGCGACTGCGTTTCTATAGATGTTGACTTACTTAGATGGGTTTTCTTTAAGAACAAATTATGTTAGATACTGTACGTTTATTTATGTTTGTGTCCGGCAACATTTTATTCGTTTTTTGTATCACCTATTTTTTGTTGTTAAAATTGGTTCGCCAGCCTAGTTTCGCAATAGGACGACCTTTTGCATTCACTATTTGTTGTTTATGAGGATTTATATATAAACTGCTCTTCCGTAGGCCAGCATGCTCCGTTACCACTATTTCACGTCGCTGGCAGTATTCTCATATGGCTGCAAGTGTTAAATATTAACAATATCACGATCGTAATAAATGATTTAATATAGATCCCGAAACACCGGAAGCATGAGATTGATATCTTTGAACTGTTACTGAAATCTATCGCCCGATTAGTGGTGTTGAAAAAATAAAAAAAGGAGATTTCGCAATCCGAAAACAACCCCACTATTAGGCTCTCATAAAGACAGGGGCCATAAACATTGTCATATTACCAGTGCCCTTGATTCTTTTACGGTAAGCGCGAATGGGGATTCATTTCTTTCGCTGTCTTGGGCAGTTTTTACCTCCTGAATTGGGAAGTGACGAGCTTCAGATACCACAAAACCTTGTTCTTATCATTTAACTAGTCGTTCAGTACGGACGTGGCTTATATCCAATCTTTGAAGCCATGTTCAATGCGATTTATCGAGCTTATCACGTGGGTTGGTTATTTTTATTCGGTGGCATTGTTCCCAAATTTTCCCTTCGCCAAATGGTAGCTAGATTGCCAATACAAGCAAACCTACGAGTCCCAGGAAGTAATTGAGAAGAAGATTCAATCGCCGGGACAAAACGTTTATTCGCCTGACGTTTCGACATCCGTCGCGGATTCTTCATCATTAAATTTGATGAGGCGAAAATTCTAGCAAGAGGTGACAGTCGTGTGAGCCTAGAAGTACTTGAGTTATGGGTCGCGGGCCCCCAGTCCATAAACAAGTGCAACGACTTGCCCAATCCATATTCGGCGCTGAGGCTCAATTTGGCCAAAGCAAGTCGCCACTTGGGGAACGCACAGGCCGCCGTGTCGTCTTACGCCAACACCGGGGAACTGGACGGCCAAGCAATCATCACGTCCAATTCCACCACGCGTGATGAAAATTCAGCAATGCCAGTAATCTAATCATCAAAACACAAGAGAGCAATTAGCGTTAATTACTGTTACTTGTCATACGTGTGCAGTAATGACACTGTCCTATAAATACTGCAACTTCCTGTGCATGTATCACCCGCTTCTGCTTCTGCTTTCTGCTTATGTCTGTGATGAGAATCCGCGAGGGATGTCGAAACGTCAGGCGAATAAAAGTGTTGTCCCAGCGATTGAATATTCTTCTCACGTAAGTAGATATTTCACATATAATATTTGGGCAGTGGTTTGTTTTGCTAGTGCATGCAGTCACTGCAGTCAATTTTTAACAAAACCTATTTTAGTCGCAAATGTAGTTAACGCTTTATCATATGGTCAGTATAATACAGCTTTTAGAAATATACATGCTTACTTTCTAATTGGTTGAAACGCCTAATCTCATATGCATAATCTTAGTGCGTCCGCTTAACTTGGTAAGTTAAACATTAAGTTTCCCCACTAAAGATCTTAATACAACTTGTTCCTTAGAGAAAAATCGTAAAGTAATTTTTAATTATGCTATATGTCTAGACTATATGCTGCCAGCAACTGCTGGCGGAGCGAATGAGTTCCGTTAGCAATCGGCGAACGTTCATGAAAGAGTGTCAACATTTTTCTATCCGAACTGGGAAGACAACGAACTCGTGACTAAATGTTTAGAGCATTAGGTTCTGATCAAGCGGTCGCGGGTTCGAGCCCCGGGTGAAGGACCACTTTGGATTGGGTATGACTGGCTGATGACAGCTACTTAGCCAGAAATGGTCATGCCAGTCTCCCTTATCTTTGCTGGCAATGCAATATAAACAAACCAGTATCGTATTCATATTGAGCGTAAACACCCGTGAACCACTAATTTAACTAGAAAATGTTCTTTTATTTAGACTGAAACGCTGATAAGTGGGTAGATTTTCTCGGATCAGCTTGTACTCCCTAACGTTTCTATTTTGGAGTAAGACACAATTACTTATATGAACTCCAAAAACCCAATATATGATTTATTAGATGTTCTGTTGGCTTTCGACCGTTTTAGGAGTCTCAAATCCAAAACCAAAGACTAACATTAATTAAACAAGCAAGCAATGTTTATGCTGGTACCTGTTTTGTCGTGGTATTTTGTTCTTTATATGGACAATGAACGTTTGGATAATCTTCCCTAAAACACAGTAAATGGTTGTGTTCACACATCCTTTAAGTCAACAGGTAAAAGCATGTAAGGCTAGGTAGTTCCTTGTTTCCTAGACGGTTCGGCAGTACGTGCATATTTTTGAAAGAAATTGCGAATCTCTGTCTTAGTACGACATCTGAGGTATTTACTATACTCTGCTTCAGATCTTGGAATCAAAAACTGTGGTTATTAGACTACACTGATATGTGGTTAAATGTCAGTGAAGTTGAAAGAAAATGAAGTTTCCCGGGATTTTCCCTATAAAATAGTTTGCTTTCAAAGCATCCCATGAAACCGATAAGCTTTAAAAGCATGGAGGCTCCACAAGTTATACTCTTCTTCTAAAATTAAATCCGTGCCAGTGACTGCAAGTCTTTAGATAAAAACGCTATGGGCTGCGGCATATCCCAAATCGTTAGATGTAGTTTTTTTAACCTTATGCTGCTGTTGTTAAAAGTATTAGCCAATTTTGTTTTTAGTCTAGTTCAGAATTTTGTCTGTGTATACCACATCCTTATCAGCCCCTTTGAACCTCCCTTTGTGTTGGCTACCTCCTACAGACTATTAGCTCGCAGTTGGCCGTAGGTGAGCCTGTGGACTGGTCCAGCTATAACGTCTACACAGTTGCCAACGTGGCCAAGCGTTTCCTGCTGAGTGTGCCTGGAGGGCTGCTGGGAGATCACAATGAACGGCGGCTCCTGGCAACAGCGGTTTCTTACTGTCCGTCTGAAGATAAACAGCAACAGAAGAAGGAGACGGCAGCGGAAAAAGAGCCGCAACCGCCGTCCCCACCGAAGCAAGATCATTTGCGACCGCATCACCATCATCAGCACCATCCCCGCCACCATCAGAAGACGCCTGCCTGTGTGGGTGGTGAGGGTCCCCTGTCAGTGCCTTCGAAACTGATGCATGCGCCGGGGTTTCGGCCCTTGGTTTCAGTCCCCAGTAGTGGACCTCTTTGGATCTCACCCTCCT